AGGGTTTGAATATATCTTTATTGTTATTTTTTCAATAAAGCCTAAAGTTTAATTATGTCTAGAATTATCATATTTACTTTTTCGTTTTGTTCTTTGTGCAATACGATTATTGTAAGGTTTTTTATGGAAATATTTAAAGCGACACCTACCGACTGATAGCTGAAAAAAACCCTCTTCTTGTTGTCTCCCGCTCGGCGTAGTTACCAAAGTGATGAAGACTTACGGCCCTCTTGCCGTTGATGATAATACTTCCGTCACTGTCGTCATTCTCATAAGCAAAGTTGCCAATACCATTTCTGCTACAACTGGGGGCATCGAGGTCACTTTCGGGAACACGACATTGACTACTTTTCAATTGACCGTTACTTTTCTGCTTTGCAGTTGTTCTGCTAGTCTGCCGAACAAAGTACCGGTAGGGGGTGTCATAATCGACTTCCAGAATCGTTATAAATTTATTTGGAAAAAGAATATCTACGATCACAACCATAAGCCCAGTCATGAGTGCTATACTTCCTATATAAAATATGAGAAAACCAACTAATCAATGTTAAGTTTGAATAAGAACAAGTCTGACTTCAGTTAAAACATAATAAAAGACAGAACGAAATGAGCCATGAATAAAAAAAAGGGGGGCGGGGGAGTACAGACAAAACGTTTCCGAAACTGTAAAGACAATCATCGTCGAAACTGTAAAAACTTTATTAAAGCTACACATAATTAATTGTAAAATTTTGGTATTTTAAAGTTGAATGACACTTTACGCGACGCATGGGGTAAACAGCCCTAAGATTTAGAATCCATCGCTAACAAGTTATTATTAACCGAACAGCGGAATTTACTGTCATTTTTATAATGCTCCCATAGAGTTCAGAAACCCTAGGCCTTTCGATACGCAGCCCGGCATGCTAACCAATAATGCACACTTGGTTCAATCTTGTAAATACAAAAAATGGGAATAGGTAGCTCATATTAGAAAATGGTGCTCAATGTTGAGGAATTAAGTAGAGTTTATTTCCCCGAAAGGAGGCCAAAGGCCGCCTGGACGGGTCACCTGTTTTAACCACTCGCACCACTTTAAAGTAGTGTGTTGTCTGTCAGTCAGTAGGCACTAAAATGATGTCACATAAGGGTTGCTTAACGTTGTAGTTTGTGCTATCATGACGTCAGCAAAACGTGCGCATGCCATGAATTATGCACTCTGTAGGCTACAACACAGCATGGCGTATGAACTTCAAGGAATAAAACTATTTCTTACTCTTAATTTTGGTTTCATTTACTCTTGAAACAGAACACTTTCGGGGACCCTGCAGAAGTACATCTAATTTATATATATACAGAGTCTTTATTATATCTTGTTTCAGCTTTTCACTTTTTAATATTCTGACAATTTTCAATGACGACACGGTAACGTGAGCTGCAAGTGATTTACAATTTATGTGGCGGGATTATTAGTTAGACACGATTCAGCAAAATTAAGCATAAACGGATTTATAGTGTTAGGAGTTATAATATGGAAATTCTGATGGTTACTTTGTGGTAACTAACTCGGTCATATCAACCAACCTGGTAGTGAGAGGGTTCATTTGCTCCATCCATTTAGTACTTTGTTTCATTTCTGCCTTGCCCCATTTCTGCCCCAGTCTCTTGCCACAGTAAATATTTATTGCCTCGTCTATTGAACCTTTCCCTTCTGAGAAGCTTATAAACTTCAAAAAGGTTGTGGGGTGGTTTCGGGCCCTCCTGAAAAGAATTGGGATGGCATCCTGCCTCACTTAAAGCACTGATTATGTACAGAACCACAGTTAAAACTATTTATAATACCTAGCCGGTGACCACAGAACTAACTGTGAAGCGTGAAATACAATAATTCCCGTTATTATCTACATAATCACAGTTAAAATGTATTATCAATGTAAATTTGATAATATGCAATATTAAATCTGTAGTTGTTTCACTAAGCCTATAGACCTGGGCGACATGAGCCTAGATCTAAGGTTGTTATTAGTCTTTTTAACGTGTAATAGACATAAGA